TCCGGCCACTCATGGATTGTCTCTCATTCTGAGCCTGACACCCGAATTCCCAGTTTCGACTCCACTCGTCGAGATCTCTTGGCTGCCTGGCGTAGGTGGTCACCTGAGTCGGATCCGGTGAATGCTAGCGAGCGCATACATCTCCGCATGTTAGCTTGCTATACCAGTGCTCTCAATGCTCTCAGAAAGCCGGTTGAAGGTGAGCTCAGTCGCTTTTAGCCTGCAGACAATCCTACTGTCCATTGTCAGTGCTTATTGAAGATATTAGGAAAGGTTACCTGCTATTAACCTAACATATCCTCTGAAAATTAATTTTAAATGAAGAATGGCTTGCTAATATAGCAAGCGTTGAAATTACATTGAATATTCTGCTATGAGGAGACTACTTCATGGAAATCTTTCATACACTTAAAAACAGTATGATCTTTCTCGCCTAAATTGTAAATAGACTTTATGTGAAATGCACAAATCTCTATGTATCACGATCTGTATTCTTATTTGCTTAACTTTTTGAAGCCATCGTTTTTGTATCAAGCCTGATTCCGCCCTTATTTTACCCCTTCCCCTTTCTAGGTGGTGTCCAGGTCAACTTTTCTTCTCATGGCTTTGTCATCCATCGCCCAGAAGAAATAAACGAACACGAGCTGTTCGCTCTTTCTTACTTTTATGAGCTTGCGGCCGAACTCAATCTGATTGATTCGCGAAATGGTGGTTTGTTAGAGGTTGGAGACTATCTACGTGCCGCCAGCATAGGTGGGTAAATCTAATAGTGGGGATTTTTTCTATTATTATTTCGTTGTTAGTACCGCTTGACAAGTTGGTCCTCTATGTAAAACAAGCTGTACTGTTAGAACGCCCAGTTCCCAGGTGTTTTTGACCGCGGAACATTTATATGACTCTAGACATAGAGGACCTGTTATCAAGTATACTGTCTAATAAATTTGACTCAGTTCTGCAATTCTTGGCCTAACTTATTTTCAAAATGTTAAATTGACCTGAGCTGGTTTGAAACTGCCGTTCGTCATAGATAAGAACACAAATTTGAGATATTTGGTCACAGTAGATTTCTCTGTCGAATTCGGAAGTCTATAAAAGAGCCTATGGACACATGCAGTCACATGGATCCATAAGGAACCCAGGGTTTGTAAAAAATAGGTCACTGTTTAATGAATAG